GTTGAAAGATTGTCATTCCACTTAGAGAATGAACAAACAATTATCTTTGATCCAAATAAGTGTTTAGTTGAACAGTTGGAAAGCAAAGTTGTTACTGATTGGATGACGTGTAATCAACAGTACGATTCCGCAAGATCATTGACTTATTCTGATTTTCCAATCGACTGGGTTTGGAATGATAAACAAAGAAAATGGTATCCACAAAAAAGTGGAAGGTGTATTGGTAGGATTTTCTTTGCATATCCAGGTAATGGTGAGAAATATTATTTACGAATGCTTCTGAACTTAGTCAAAGGAGCAACATCATTTGAAAATATTAGACTTGTCAATGGACTAATACACCCTACATTCAAAGGTGCATGTTATGCATTAGGGTTGCTAGATAATGATAAAAAGTGGAATGATTATTTAGCTGAAGCATCAGTATGGGCTACCGGAAGGTAGTTAAGATAACTTTTTGTAACTGTTCTCTTATTTAATGAGGTGGTAAGTCCAAGAGACTTGTGGACGGCAAATGCAGATTTGCTATCTAAAGATATTCCCTACATTCTTAAACAAAAAACGCAGATGATAGCATTGAAATACAGTCCAGAACATATTCACAATTATGCATTGCTCGAGATTGAAGATTTGGTTAAAAGGGAGGAAAGTCCTTGGCTAATTTCCATGGAATGCCAATTTTGGACCATTCTGCTTTTGAAAATGCATAGAATAAATTAATTCTTGAGGAGTTAAATTATGACATTAACAACAACAAAACACTGCACAATGATTTATACAAGGGTCTCAACAATGGCCAAAGACACATATATGATTCAATCCTTGATTCAGTAAACAATCAAAGAGGAATACCGTTTTTCGTTTACGGGCATGTTAGAACAGGCAAAACCTTCCTATGGTCAACAATCATAGCAAAATTACGGTCTAAACATAAAATTGTTCTCATTGTGGCTACCTCAGGAATTGCTGCATTGGTGCTACCAGGAGGAAGAACGGTCCATTCACGTTTCAGAATACATTTAGATATCACTGGGCAAAGTACATGTGATATTAAAAAGGGAACACAATTGGCAAAACTACTTTTGGAAAGATCTTTGATCATTTGGGATGAAGCACCCACGGAAAATAGATATTGCTTTGAAACTCTTGAAAGAACTTTGAGAGATATTTTGTCTAAAAAAGATCAGTCAAATGCAAATAGAATATATGGAGGCATCACTGTTGCCCTAGGTGGCAATTTCAGACAAATTTTGCCAATTATACCAAAAGGGAAAAAGCATGATATAATGCAGGCCTATTTATCCTTATCTTCTCTTTGGCAACATGTAACGGTGTTGAAACTGAGAGAACGTGAGATTGAAGACAAATTTGGGAAACCTAATAGAATTGAATGAGTTGAACGATTTTGACAAATGGTTACTTGAGATTAGAGAATGAACAAGCGTTGTAGAAGATGAAAGTTACATCCAAATTCCTAAGGATTTGAAGGTCACTCAACATAACAGACCCCAAGAAACAATTGTGAATATTGTGTTCCCAGATTGAACAGCTCAGATAAACAATGTTAAGTATATCAGAGAGAGAGCAATATTGACAGCTAAAATGAAACAGTACATGCATTGAATGAATATATCACTCAGAACCTGCCATCAGATGGAAAGACATACCACAGTTCAGAAAGTACTTGCAAAGTAGTAGCTAGGTATCTCAAATGATGATGACATTCTCTATCCAACTGAATTCCTTAACTTTTTAATATGCTCGGGAATGCCAAAACATGAATTGCAATAAAAAATTGTCATTCTGATTATGTTACTGCGTAATTTAAATCAATCTAATGGTCTTTGCAATGGGACTAGACTGATTGTAACCCATTTAGGAAAGTGGTGCATCCAAGTAATGATTATTACTCGATCAAATATTGGTGATACTGTTACGATTCCCAGAATAATAATGTTCATTCTGGCCGTTTCTGGCCAGATTTTTCACGATCTAGTCATTTCCGACCAGAGAATGGCTAGATCAGCGCACGACCAGCCACATATGGTCGGTTGTGTGCCTTTTTGGCGATCGACGATCAGCCACCGACAAAGGTGGCCGACATTCGGCAACCGGCTGCCAACAGAGGTGGCTGGCGATGGTAGTTTTGGTGGCCTCGAATTTGTTTTAAATACAAGGGCATTAATGTCCAAAAACTTAATTAACTAGGAGTGAAATTGTAATGGCAGGTTCATGTAAATTAATTTAAAAATAAGGGTATTTTTGTCCAAAATTTTTATTAATAAATGGTAAAATTGTAACAAAAATAAGATTACCAAGTAATCTTAAAGTACCTAAGAAAATGGAGGTAATCAGATTACCTCCTATATTACAAATAGTAATTACTATTAGTTTTGAAAGATTTTGGAATTTAATCAAACATGGTAATCAAATAACATAAGATGACATTACCTCAGTAATCGCCTATTACCCCTAACCAAACACACCCTTAATGTAACATAATTTATATTATTTGCAATATACAAATAATTATTACTATGTGAAGACAAGTTCCTTAAGACGGAACCTAGAAAAATTATAATTTATTACAATGTGGAGTTTATTCTTATTTATAACTGGTCTAAGCTAAGACTAAATTTTTTTATGACTACATTGAGATTATTCTTATATAAAGTATCAATATAGAGTGGTCTTATTGCACTAAAATTTTAATGAGTTTAATAAGAATCCATCTATTCTTCATTTTGAAAAAAAATAATAAAAATTTCAAAATTTTCAGAAAAATATTAAAAGATGAAGTTTTTTAAATTTATTTTTTAGCTCTCAAATCAATTATTACATCAAAATAATTTTAAATATTAAGAAGGAAATAAGTATACAAAAACTTTAAGGGTCAGATGCATTTGATTGGGCTCTTGCTACTAAAAACAACAAACCAGATTATTTATTTCATTTAACTGAAAAAGGTAAAACAAAAAAACATCCAGAAATTAACATGTTTAATTTCTCATTTTCATAAATAATTTACCGGAAGTATTGTTATCTGGGCCAGGTTGGGCCCGGACTGACTTGGCCCAAATGATTTTAAAAAGAGTAAAGGACATTTTCCCACCCAAGGTTTGGCGAATCTACGTTCCCACCCTTGGTTTCATAAATTACAAATTCTCACCCTTAAATTAACAGAAAACGGTTTAATCTAACATTTAAAAGGGTAAAATGGTCATTTCAAAGATGAAAATTTCAAGATAACCCTTCACTTCTCAAATTCACCCCACTGGAAAATATAAAAATAACTCTTCACTTCTCAAATTCACCCTATCGGTAATTTTGGGCTATTCCAACATGTTTCCAGCGCAATCGACCCCTCCTGACACTACCATTACAATCCCCTCAACCCCCACATCAAAACCCGTAACCTCTCCACCTAATTGAACTCCCCAATCGTCGGCCACTGTTCTTATTGTCAGTCAGCATTTCATCCAAATTCTAATAAATCCCAGCACTGAAAACCACCCCCAAGGCCACCAAAATAGCATCACCGGCTTTCCCCCATTAAAACCCCCAACATCGTCGATTGCAATTGCTCGCCGATCACCACCGCCTCTCCCTTAGGTTTTCGCGTTTTGTCGCCTCTTTCCAGCCAAATTCTAACACCTCGTTGAGGTGCAATCGAGTGGAAAAATTAAGGGTTTTGGTGAAAAGATAAGAGGATGCTGATGGTGGTGTCAGGGAGGTCCAATGGTGCCAGAATCAGGCCAGATTTTTGGCTTGGCCAAGATCTCCTCTGAGGGTTATTTGAGAGAAATTTGAGATATTATAGAGGTTATTTTGAAAGAAAAGTAACGGTATTAATTTAAGGGTGGGAATATGCAAGTTATGAAACCAAGGGTGGGAACTGTTATTTCGCCAAACCTTGGGTGGGAAAATGTCGTTTACTCATTTAAAAATATTTGAATAAAATTTTAAGCCTCATTTTTGTTCTCAAAATTTCTGAGTCACCGTGACTGTAAACAGCCACCCTCACACTTACCGCAAACGGCCTCAGACAAATTTATAAAGGCAGCAGCCCATTTTCAAGTCCGAACCAAAGGTAAATCTTTTAACTTTAAATTTTTATTTATCATGTTGTTTTTGTTTAAAGTTTTCACGTATTTTGATGTGCTATTGTTTGCCTCTGATACTTGTTTAGATTCATTTACCTGAATTTCACTCAAACAAATATGAAATGAGCTGGCTTAACTAAATTATTTAAACCCATTTGTGAAATTTATTGTCTTGTTGGATAATCTTTCCCCTTTTTTCAATAGCACTGAGCATTTCAGGTCTACACATAACCTGCTTGACAATATTCCTCAGAGGACTTTTTTTTTTTTTTTTCTTTGGCGGCGGCGGCTGTGGGGATTGTTCTGTCCATCGGTTTTGAAGCTTTTTGTTAAAGTTTATAATGACCCAAGTGGGGGATTCTCTTGTTTCGAACTGGGTAATCTTTTTTCATGGATGTCTGAAAGTGATTCAAGATGTTGTTTCTAATACTGAGAATATCTGGAATACAAATGGAAAATTATATGAACTATATCAAATTCATAGTACTATGTGTAAATAAATTTATTATCCAATGTATTTATATCCTACTCAATAATCCGATTATGCATTGTTCTGTGCTCACTCTAAATATTGCCTGATTTTCGTGTTCACAATAGGCGTATAGTGTTGGGGTATTCTTTTGTAAATATATTGTAATGTTCAGTGCTATCTATGTAGTAGGGTACTTGTTGAATCATTTATGTAATGTTATTCAAACTACGATATAGAATGCTTATTAGACCCTTTTATCACGAGTTTGTTTGAGCATGTGGAATGATTGGTTAAGTTGAAGTCATGTAAATGTAAAAAAGAAATTTTACTTATTTGTTTCATGTATTTTATTCCTTGTTTGTTAGGTGAGACATACTACTTATGACCAGTTCAAATCTGATGAACTGACAGAAATATAGCGAAGGATGACAGTTTTGAAGAGATATGTTTTGCGGTTGTTCATATCATTGAAGTACATTACAGCGAATGTAGTGGACAGAAACAATGGGCGGATTGTTGCAACAGCATCTACAGTTGAACATTCTATAAAAAACTCGCTTGAATGTGGTCGGTCCTGCAATGCCAAGGCAGCAACAGTTGTTGGAGAGGTCTTGGCAATGCGACTCAAAGTGGAGGGCCTTGAACAAGGACAAGGAAGAGGGATTCATGTCGATGTAAACAAAGAAGTTGAGAAAAAAGGTTTCAAGAACCGCACCAAAATATGGGCAATTGTCAATGCGCTCAAGAACAATGGAGTCAAACTCGTTCTTGACGATAGTGATGATGATGCTTCCAGGCCAAGTTTCTGATAAGTTTCCGCTTTATCTTTTTTACGTTTTAGTCTTCCCTAAATGTTTAGATTTCTATGTAGAAGGTAGTTTATACATGTTTTAGTAGTGAAAGGAAAGTGATAGAATTGCTATTTCATGAAGAAAAAAAACATAAATGAGAACGGTGTTAGATCTTTGTCTTTTCCTTCTCATTATCTATTTGCGTTGCCATATATTTATGTCTTATAGTATCCAGATAGCTATGCTTCATGCTCTTAATTCATTTTGCATAAAAGAGTGAACATAGCAATACTAATTAATCTCCCACATAAATTGGTATTTGAGTTTATCTGAGCAACACCAACAATTAGAATCAAAGCAATACTAATCTCCAACATATCATCTCTTAGGGCATGTTTGTCTGAAGCTCTAAAATCAAGTTGACCTATTTGTTTATAACTTTTTTAGGCTTATAAGTTGGGTTTATAAGCCAAAAATAAATAAGTGTAGGGGAACCTATTTTTTTTTATTTTTTTTTTAGCTTATAAGCACTCTACTTATAAATTACGTTGATCAAGTATATTACCATATTATATCTATATAATTTTAAAATTCCATTATATAACCTTATTTATATTTGATAAAATAATGTAGTACCTGATGAACAATTTTATAACCTCACAAATGCACGAATCGTTATCGTAGTCTAATGTGCAAAAGTAAGGGTTGATCCCACAAAGATTTAAAAGCAATTTACTAATCCTAATAAGTATGCTTGAATTAAAACTAATAACTAGAATTAATAATAAAGAATTAAGGAAAACCACTTGAAAAGCAACAACTGATTAAAACTAAAATTAAATAATTATAAAATTATCTAAAGCCCAATTGACCAAAACCTAGAGCTCCAATTTCACCATAATTATCCAGCTCTATGTCTACCATCTATTTATTGTTTATCAATTCACTCTCTAGGGTTCACACTCATTAAATCAACGTATTACCGTAAGGCTTTCGGGATTAACCTAATATCTTTAACATAAGACTAGCTAGGCCGTATAGTCTAGCCTGTGAATTAAAAACTCATTAAACACAAGAATACTTGAAATCAAGAATAAAGGCGCATTTGTCAGAGCGTGTGCACAAACACTAATTATTCAAGAAATCATGAACCTACTAATACTCTGTCAGGCATATGCATAGAGTACTAATCATTCATTCACATGAGTTCTTCAAGATTAAAATATACTATATGTATAATCTCAACACATACAACCTAATAATTCACACTAAGTGTCATCACACAATAATGAAAACTAAAGATTAAATTAATAATATAATGAATCAAGATTTCCATTAAATTGATAACACTAACATATGTTTAACACAGAGCCTTCCAGTTAAGCTACATTGGATCCCTAGAGAAGAATTTAGTTACTCATCAACATAAAGAAAGCAAACCTCAATTCCCCTAAAAGAATGAATAATGCAAAACCCTAGGAAAAATCTCCTTTTCTTTCTTGCTACAAAGTGGCTCTCAATTTAGGTCAAAGAGAATTATCCCTAAAATAAATTACAATGTCCTATTTATACTTTTTCTTTGCTAGGGGTGTTTTTGGAAAAGTACAAGTTCAAGTTAGAGTTGGAAAAAGGTAAATTTTTTCTTTTCTTTGCGATCACACTACAATGTGATTTTGTGGCACCGCGGCGTCGAATTCTCCTGCAAACCTTAAAACTCTTTCGCAATGCCGAATTCTTCACGTCGTGGCACAATCTTTCTGCTCTAATCACTCTTTTGCGTCGTGACGTAGAAAAACCCTGCCACAATGCCATCTAGTTGTTTAGCATTTATTCTCCTCTCGATGATTTGGTTTCTCTTTCTTTGCGTGTCCAAGGCCTCCAAACATCGTGCGAACAAACTTTTCCGCCTAAAAACCTGAAACTTATACACATACCCATGATTCTTGAAAATAAAAATATATAAAGAAGTCTGCATAAAAATAACCCATTGAAGTCATGAATTTCATACAGTCTACCCATAAAATCACAGAATATACAAATCAATTCACCAATCATCACAACCCCCAACCAACTTCTTGCTGGTCTCTAGCAATCAAAGTGATCGAAAATAACCTAACCCATATTATAACAACTTTAAACTAAACTCTTTTCATAGGTTACCATGATTGTATTTAGCATATGCAATAAGCCTTCAAACCCCTAGGTCCCTCTAGTGGATGAGTTATAGCTAGTCTCGTGAGGGTTTACAGTGATGTTACCCACAAACATCCTACAAATCCTAACTAACACACAAACATTCACATAATTATAAAAATAAAACAAAAGCTTCTAAACTAATTCATATAAGTGTCTCAGAAATTGCATACACACACAACATAAAGAATAATCAAACATCACCTCCAATCTAGAATATCCCAAACATCAATCTCACCTTCGTTCTCAACTCTCTAACATCTATCAATCCACAATCTGTCAATCCTAACACCAAAAATAATTTCATATGCAACATCCATAGACAAAAAAGAAATTATCCCAATAATTATGAAATATTAATAAAATTCTGTAAATACAAACTCCATAGGTGTACTTTTCAAACCACTCTCCACTAATATAGAACAATCACACAACTTTAGATCATTAGGACTTTATTGAGCTTGTAATATTTAGGCTAATGTATTGAGTTATGAAAGAATGGAAAGGAATCAAACAAAATAAGAGGATTAATCTTACTTATTTGCAACAACATCGCTCAAAGCATATCACATTCTCTCCAAATTTCCCAAGCCTTTGTTACGTCTCTCTTCCCAACCACATTTGCATTACACACTTTCCATACTTCCTTGATTCATTCATTTTTTTTATTTTCTTCCTTTTTTTTCAGATTTTTTTTTTTTATTTTTGGAATGAAACAATAGTTAGGAAACATGGATATTACAATCATTCCCCTTGTTACCTTGATATTCACAATACACCACAACCCCCAACCCATTCTTTCAAAATATTGAGAAATCACTCTAAGCCACACACATTCCTACTCTCACTTCTAGTAATATTAAGATTAAATCCTCTTAAAAATCATGGGTAGATTAGTGTGTTTAAGGGTTAAAAGGATATGTTATTGTGGGATAAATGAAAGAAAATCAAGGCTAATATAAATTCAATATCAACACAAAAGGGTGACAAGAGATAATAAAATATAGGGTTGGCTTGAAAGGCACAAACGGCCTAAAGATGGCCTAAGTCATTTCTTCAGTCATGTGTCGTCTAGGATTTCGACTCAAGTGGTCATCAAATAGGTTTTAGAATTTGGGGATCTAAAAAAAATGTCATTAGGATAATTACACATAAAACATCCCTAAATGCTATAACTAACCCACCAGACAAACCAAAAACATGAGAGTCTCAAACTTAGGCAAAACCAACATCTAGAATTATTCCCAAACTAAAGTAAAATTTGATTTCTTCTAAATGCTCATGTCATTGCAATTATGTTATTATCATTGACATATAAATTAATCTAGAAAAACTGAAACACATTCAATTAAAAATTAAATTTAAACACACCAAACCTCATGAAAATTAAAATAAAATAAAATAAAGAAAATTCAGGAAAATGGAACTTCCCCACCCCCAACCTAAAACCTACATTGTCCTCAATGTAACAATTAGAATGGAAAAACAGAAAAGGAAAGAGAAAGTTACCCCCTTTAAAGACATCATCAGAACAAGTGTGGCACCACGATGCCATTTTCATCACGTCGTGGCATCAAGCTGCTGCCCAAATTGCTTATGTCTCTTCCTTGCTCCGCCGCGATATAAATATTTTGCGCCGTAGCGTGAAGCTCTTTTCCTACAAACAACTAAAGCATAAAATACAACTAATTAACCTAAAACAAAACAACGAAAACACTCAAAAACTAAAGAAAATAAAACCATAAATGAAATTTACATAACGTTCAAAGTAAAAAGTTGGGTTGCCACCCAAGAAACGCTTTATTTAACGTCTAGGCTAGATGAAATGTGTGATCTATCAGCCTCAATCGTTTGAATCTGAAGGAAATGCCAAGGAATCGAAAACTAAGAACTCCACTATTTCATCCAAAATCGTCATAGTGAGCTTGCCATTATGAACATCAATCACTGTCTTAGTTGTAGCCGTAAATGGGCGGCCGAGCAAAATGGGCAAATCTCTATCATGCGTTGACGGCTTCTCCATATCTAAGACTACAAAGTCAACAAGAATTATTAGTTTATCAACTTTAACCAAGACATTCTCTATAATACCTCTTGGATATTTTATTGAATTGTCAGCCAATTGTAGAGACATTGTTGTTGGTTTTAATTCCCCTATATCCTAATCGAAGAAAAGTGGATTAAGGCATGAGATTAATGCTTGCCCCCAAATCTAGCATTGTTCGTCTTCCTTTTTATCACCCACGGTAAAGTTGATGATGAAGCTACCTGGATCTTTTAATTTGGGTGGAAAATTCCTTTGAAGCACAACACTTACCTTTTCAAGAACCATTACTTTTTCATTAGGTTCAAACTTACACTTGTGAGTAATCAAATCCTTCAAGAACTTTGCATAAGCTGGCATATTCCTTATCACATCAAGCAAGGGTAAATTGTTGGGATTCATGCATTTTGGACATGGAAATGGAGAGAAAATGATGATCAAGATGATGGACATAAGGTAGAAAACAAACAATTAAAACATTAACTTATTAATGTAAGAAAATGATAGAAAATTACCAACTCCTTTGCCTATTAAAAGCTTGATGTTGAAACTTTGAGTCTAGATTCTTCAAAAGAGAATGAAGAAACTCAAAATAAAATCCACCCAAGCCAAACTTGGGGTCTAGCTTTCTAATGGATGCCTCTTGTTGCTCAAATCTCTGTTTGATATTCTGTTGGTTTTTCTGAGAAACTTGAATAAAATTATTCAACATCTCTTTCAATGAGGGTTTTAACGGTTGATTGTTAGAACTTCCTTGTTGCTGATTGTTACTCCAGGAAAA